AGAAAATTGAATTACGATCGAGAAAGAAGAAATTTCTCTCTGATACCATGACAGAACAAATAGAAGAACAAAATATTTTGTATATCTTGATTGATCTTGATGTACAGAATAAGAGGATATAAATATACAAAGTCTAGGGCTTGTTAACTTGGACAACAAGATATCCTACTTAAATAAAGTAAATATAAATATAAGATATTTCCTATACTAACAGTCTTCCACGTTCATTGATCATCCATTATAAATAGACAAATTGAGAGAGTTTATTTTTCACTTTCACTCCATACACTTAAAATCCACTATTTTCCTTAGCCAAATAATAAGAAAACCGAGAAAGACAAAGCTTATATCTTCCACTATCATTTTATCTACTTAGCATAGAAATCAAAGAAAAATCCATATCACCTTAGCCAATAAAAGAAAAAGACCGAGAGCAGAGATAGCAAGGAAGAGGAAAGTGAAGGCTTCATTTACCGCAAGCACACCTAAACTCTTGATCCTTTTGCTTGGTTATTTAAAGAGGTAAGCTAATCCTTAGCATGCGGCATAAGCTGAGTAAAAGTTTTTCTATATGTGCTTAGATAAACTATATATTTCAGTTCTTAAGTGTGTACAATGTTGCAACAAGTTGAAGTGCCTTCTACTCGCATGTATAGAGTATAGTTGTTGTTTATGATTTCCGGTATGCTATGATCAACATGGAGAAGTGAGCTGATTATGACCATTTCTTGTTCTTAGGCTGAGTATAAACATGAAAGAATCATGACAATTGGATAAGTATATCTTAAGATATAAGAATTTGAAGTTGAACGTGCAAATTGATTTTCAAGTGCCTTGTTTCAGCTGCCACTTAGAACTCGAATATCTCAGTCCACAGACATGATATTAACATAAAATTTTTATGACATGTTTAAATATATTTTTAGAGTATGCATGTTAAATTTTAGCTCAAAAGGATCAGAATTGAGCAAGATAAAAATGTTAGACTACATGGCTGCCAAGTTGATTTTTGTTGCAACAGAACTCAGTATAGACTCATGATTTTGATGTGAGATTTTTATGAGTATGTCTTACATGAGTTATGATTATTGTGACCAAATTTCAGCTTCAAAAGTTAAGGGTGGAATTTTATATAGTTTTTAGAATGTAGGAGGGTCAAATGCTTGTTTATATGCGAATTTGATGTAATTGTTTGACCAACCAAATGAACTAAGAATAAGCTAAAAATTTAACTGGAAATGCATGTCTAAGTAAAGTATTTGACTGCTAATTTTCAGTATTTTTGAAGATTTATATGATTTTATAAAAATCATAAGGTTTAAGGGGTATATTAGCTTATTTTAAATTGTTTAAACAAAAGTATTTGAACATGAGAGTATATACAACCCTAAGCATATATTTAAGTAAAAGAATTGACAGGTTTGACCGGAGGATCGAGTAGTTTTCAGTTTTTATGTTTCGATCAGAGTTTTATTCTGAAATTTAAATATTTTCCGAGCCAAGTAAGTCCAGTTTAGCTATAACAATTAAGTCCGGATTTCATATAAGTTTTGTCGAACCCTTAGAGTGTTCCACTTAATCCGAATAAGTTAACAGTTAGAACCGAGTATTATAGCACCTGTTTGAGTATATCTGAGCATAGTACTTAGTAATTGTTTATATTATGTTACAGTTTAATCAGGCTACTGTTATCAGCACTACCATTTTCATATCGACAGTTCAGGTGGGGACTCAGACTAAGTACTACATTGATTATATTTACGGTACCATGTTTGAGATATGTATTTCATGTCATGTATCCGCTCGGAATGGTCGCCGGTCCATTCTGGGTTCTAGTGGCCCTAGTCTGCCCACTAGAGTGTGCACATGGTGTCCGGCATTAGTTTGTGCCGGCAGATGAGGTAACGGTCATGGTTCACGTTCACGTGATGATATCAGATTCATGTTCATGTTATTACCGGTTTCATGTTCAGGTTATGTATATACCAAAGATCATGATGTTGTAATTATTTTTCACTGTTTACATTAGTATGAGTTTCCACGGAGCACAATGTAATAGTGCTCACAACCCACTTTTATCATGTTTTTCAGGTCAGGATGTCGGGCCGAGAGCGTGAGATGACGGACGCCTCAGGACTTTTATGATATGATTGTATATATTATTACGATTTTACGTTTCCGCTGACTTTGACGTTGATGAACTTATGTTTTGACCGGACTTTT